ATGCGCATCCAAACGCTAATTTCTCCAGTACTAGACTAGCAAATACTTCGTGTCATCCATAATCACACTACCTTATGGCAAAATAAACTCTAGTTCCTCCCATTTCACTGCGCGTTGTCTTATAAGAGGCATTTGAAAATACCTCCAATGTTGTTCAAATTCTCCGATGTTTTAGACTTTCGCGTTACCCTGCCAAGCAACCGCACAGTGGTGCTGCGGTACAGCGGTACGGGTGTAGCAAATATAAAAACATGTGACGTCACCTAACCGTTTCTTGGCGAAATTGTTTGGCAATCAATTTAGCGTTGGCGCCAGATTACCAGATTTCACACTTCTTTCTTGTGGATTATAAGCAAACGCGCACTGAAATGGGAGGAACTAGAGTTTATTTTGCCATAAGGTAGTGTGATTATGCATGCCACGAAGTATTTGCTAGTCTAGTACTGAAGAAATTAGCATTTGGATGCGCATAGTGCGGCTTTAATATGGCGCTCTGGAAGGTTGGTAAAATCTAATTAAAAGGAATATGCGCATCATATTGCGTACGGCGTAAAACTGACGCGACATAACTGACGCATGCGCACGCGCAGTAGTGACGTTATAGTGACATTCATGTGAGCGGGAGAATATTAGCACTGGCTAGCTCCCGACTAGCTCGTGATGTGATAACAGTAATTGGCTTTCGATCGGCTTTATCAAGCCGTGAAATTGTTAGTCTCTCTCTTAACTGCATTTGATGTTGGGTATTCGCTTGTTGCTCCCGAGCCTAATTGGGGATTAGGACTTTTGTGCCTCTGAGTAGCACTACAAAGCCGTTGTTGGTTTGTGAGCGGGATGTGGGGTGCTATCTAGGCTATGTCTTCTAGAACACGAACGAGGGACAACTCTAGTGTTTTTTGGTGTAGCTTATTCTAATTGCCCCCAGATATGTGCTGTCTTCTATAGGTATGCATATAACGGAACAATTACAACTCCTCATCCCATCTCTACAGTAACATTGTACGCTCCAAATATCCGCAACTAATCAAAGACTATTTATACATGTATTATTATCAGTTATTATTTATGCTTATACACACGCATGCAGGCACGCGTGCACTCTCGCTCGGATGCATACACGCACGCACACCCAGCAAGGCACGCACACACGGCAAGGCACGCACACACAGCAAGGCACGCACACAGTGTACGAGCTGTATTACGAGCTGTATATGCGGTGTTGTCGTGAGTTACACACGGCGGTATAGGCTCCGTAATTAGCTGCTGATTAATTAACGGTTCCAGGAAGAGATGCTATCCACTCGCGCCTGCTACTTCCGTACAGAGCAGGAGCACGCCGCTCCGTTCCTCGGCCAGCGGTCAGCGAGTCTGCGCTCTGCCGGACTGAGCTTAGTCTCAGTGGCCGTTAGACCGATCGACTGCCCTTTACTATCCTACAGTCTGTCATGTGGAGAAGGTGGTAAGTAAAAAGTGACGGAGAGAGAAGTCGGGCGAGCTAGGTCCAATTGAAATGGCGTCATCACCCGTTGTAAAATGGATAATTATTCATTAACCAATTGTGTTCGTAACTGTTAAAAAATAAAACGATTAATTAATAATTTTGAAAAGACCTTAATGCAACATGCTCGGTGAGGCGCTACCGACTATTAATATGACTGCGTTGCATAGAATAGTTTGTCATGTGGTCATCATGTGTCCAATCGCACCCAGCGTAAGTGGGCGAAGTAGAATCGTATATCGTTATAAGCGTACGCATTCGATGTACACGTTGCGCACATATGATAAGTATATTAATACCTCGCGTTTCGTCAAGCGAAATATGAGGAGCTTATGTATGATTGTCGATTACTAATGCTGAGAGGGTCTATTTCTCCCAGGGTACGTTCCGGCAGTACCCTAGGGGACATAGACCCTATGAGCATTACTAATAGGATACTGCATGTTGTTACAACGCGCCCGTGCGAGCAGTCGCCGATCTTGCAATAGCTCCTAATGACATACACCATTAATCCCGTTATATTCCTGACCGATAATCTTGTCTAACGAACAAATGCCTGCCACGATATGGCCGCTGACTCGCCATTTCTCTATACACAGCGCAAGGTTTTTTTTTTATCAAGGTCTAGTATCAGATCAGTTTAGCAAACAATGTAATAATATCATAAAAATACCAAAACCATTTTTTCCTCCAGCTGAGACGGGCGCGCATTTTACCAGGCGCGGTCACAGACGGCCAATTAGTCATCATCTTTCGCAGTAATTAAATTAATAACTACAGTATATATCAGGCGCGAGTAGACGGAATTGCATGTAATTTATTATAATTATCGTCTATAGCTACGCTCACAGAAGTGGCGGTCCCTGGCGTCGATTACGCAAAGGAGCTGAGTAAAGTGATGTTCGAGATTTATACATCCGGGTTGTCGGACAGCCGCTCCGCAGACGACGTCTGGAACATTGAGCGAGAGCTGCGGGCGCGCTACCTAGCGGACGCCAGCACGAGAATCAACACCCATCGCTGCGACGTCGCAATCGTCGTATTGTACGTTGTGAAGGAGAAGGAGGCGGAGGAGGAGGAGCCGAACGCAGAGCGGGAAGAGGAGCAAGCTGATAAGCAGCCGGAGAAGGAGTAGAGGGGAAGGAGGAGCAGGAGGGGTGGAGGAAGAGCAGGAGGGGGAGCAGGAGGGGGAGACGGATGAGGAAAACGAGTAGGAGAAGGACGTAGAGGAGGGGAGGAGGAGGAGGAGGAGGAGGAGAAGGAGGAGGAGGATGGAGGAGGAGGGGAGGAGGAGGAGGAGGATGAGGAGGAGGAGGAGAAGGATGGAGAAG